TCATTAACCACTTTGAAAAGTTACGCTTAAGAGGGGCTTCCCATCCAGACAGAGTGTTAGTTCAAAGACATCATAACTTAAAGATGAACAGCAAAGGGATTTTGTCTTTCTTTGTATCCTTTCTGGATTTGTATTCCAACCCTCACTCCCCTCCCCATCAAAAGAAGTTTTCTGTTCTTTCTCACCACCACCAATCTTAGAGTCACCAGAAATATCCTGGCTTGATTTGCTCAGTTTTGCTGGGAGGACTCCTCGGAGGACTGAAGAACTAGTGGGATAACGACAGCATAAACAAACTGAAGTCTGAGCATGAGCTTTTCCAGACCTCAAGTGGAAGCAGGGTTTTTTGCTGGTAACTTCTGATCCCTCAGAAGATCAATAAAGGGCCCAGATACAATCTTATTTACTTTGCAGTTCATACAAAACAACCCCCTAGAACTCACAGCATGCTTTTTGCAGTTATATAACCTGGGTACTTAAGGGCCTAATCCTGTGAATGCTTATGCATGTGAATAACAATAATCCCATTGAGTGCACTCAGCTGCATAAGCACTTGCAAGATCAGGGGGAGAGATAAAAGTTTGCTTAGTTCAATCCATTTATCCTCCTCTTATTTGGTGCTGCAGGGAAGGCCATCGTTCCGGTTTGTTATTTGGCCACACTGCCCACTGGAATTGCTTTAAGATACTTTTAGTTTTGCAGGAGACTCACAGGCCTTTGGGCTTTGTGGGCCATAAAAAGAAGATTATTTTCACAGCAACCCACACAATGTCATCTCGAGATATCCTTGTGGCACCTTAGAGACTAACAAATTTATTTGGGCATAAGCTTTCGTGAGCTATAGCCCACTTCATCAGATGCATGGAGTGAAAGTTACAGTAAGCAGGTATAAATATACAGCACATGAAAAGATGGGAATTGCCTTGCTAAGTGGGGGGGCTCAGTGCTAACGAGGCCAATTCAATTAGGGTGGATGTGGCCCATTCCCAACAGTTGACCAGAAGGGGTGAATATCAACAGAGGGAAAATTTTCCATCTATTCAAGGGACACCATCATAGGACCTAACCACATCAGCCACACCATCAGGAGCTCGTTCACCTGAACATCTACCAATGTGATATATGCCATCATGTGCCAGCAATGCCCCTCTGCTATGTACATTGGCCAAACCGGACAGTCTCTATGCAAAAGAATAAATGGACACAAAACAGACATCAAGAACTGTAATATTCAAAAACCAGTAGGAGAACACTTCAATCTCCCTGGACACTCAATAACAGTCTTAAAAGTGGCCATTCTTCAATAAAAAAAACTTCAAAAACAGACTTCAACGAGAAACTGCAGAACTGGAAGTAATTTGCAAACTTGACACCATCAAATTAGGCCTGAATAAAGACTGGGAGTGGCTGGGTCACTACAAAAAGTAATTTTCCCTCTGTTGATATTCACCCCTTCTTGTCAACTGTTGGGAATGGGCCACATCCACCATGATTGAATTCATCTTTTATTACACAAGCACATGGGTTGGGGGATGAAACCGCACTCAGAAAACCTAGACATCAGGCAGATGAGGAGACAGCTCAGAGGCTAATGTTGGTGAGTACAGTGCTGCTGTAGCTCTTCTGTTAGTTAGGACTGAGGGCAAACCCCTGGAACAGAGTGAGGATGGGTTTGGGCACCAAAGTCTGGCCTACAGACTTAGGTCGGTATAACTCTGCCGCTCAGGGGTGTGGAAAACCCACGCCCGCGTGATGCAGTTATACCGACCGAACTCCTGGTGTAGACAGCGCTATGTTGATGGAGGGCGTTTCCCGTCGACAGAGCTACCGTCTCTTGGGGAGGTGGCGCACCAATGCCGATGGGAGGTAGAGTCTTCACTAAGTGCTACAGCTCCATTACTGCAGTGCTGTACGTGTAGCCATGCCCTAATGCAGGGGTGGCCAACTTGAGTCTGAGAAGGAGACAGAATTTACCAATGTACATTGCCAAAGAGCCACAGTAATACGTCAGCAGCCCCCCCATCAGCTCCCCACCCCCGCTCTCAGCGCCTCCCGTCCCACCAGCAGCCCTGCCGATTAGCACCTCCCCCTCCCTCCCCGCACCTCCCAATCAGCTGTTTTGCGGCGTGCAGGAGGCTTGGGGGGAGGGGGAAGGAGCGCGGGCATGGCAGGCTCAGGGGAGGGGTTGGGAAGAGGTGGGGTAGGGACAGGGCCTGTGGCAGAGCCAGGGGTTGAGCAGTGAGCACCCCCTGGCACATTGGAAAGTTGGCGCCTGTAGCTCCAGCCCTGGAGTCGGTGCCTATACAAGGAGCCGCATATTAACTTCTGAAGAGCCGCATGTGGCTCCGGAGCCACAGGTTGGCCACCCCTGCCTTAGAGTCACAGATTCCAAGGCCGGGAGGGACCATTGTGATCAAGTCTGACCTACTGTATAACCCAGGCCAGAGACCTGCCCCAAAATCATTCCTAGAGCAGATCCAATCTTGATTTAAAAATTGTCAGTGCTGGAGACTCCACCACAACCCTGGGTCAGTTGTTCCAGTGGTTAATTACTCCCACTGTTACAAATTTACCTTATTTCCATCTGAATTGGTCTAGCTTTGTCTTAGTTACACAGATGCTCCAAATGATAGGATAGGATAAGAAGATTTGATGGGATAGATAGATAGATAGACACACACAACCAGTAACTGGTCTTGAAGCCAGTTGGAATTTTTAACAAGATTTCCCCCTAGTTTAGACTTTGCCTTAACTGTTCAAAAGCACCTAAATTACTTAACAGCCAAAGTGCCATTGAAAGTCCTTGAGACTTTGCTCTCCTAATCGCCTGTGTGATGGCTGGGGAAAAAAAGACTTCGGCTCCTATGTCATTTGGAAAATGCTTTGGAAAATGGTACCCATGGTACATTGGTCAAGCCATCCATCTGGCTCTGAAATAGCAATTACAATTACTCAGGAGGGAAAGGGATGGAGGGGAAAAAAAAAAAAAAAAAAAAAAGAAAAGTAAAGAAGAAAAAAAAAAAAAAAAAAAAAAAGAGAAACGTGTCTTGCTTCCTCTTCCCAGTTTTACTAGTATGTGATGATTCCCTCTTAAAAAGGCTATTAAATCCAGTTGGCCCAACTGCTCCCTCGTGATAAACGGTATAAATATGACAAGCAGAATTATCCAGCTCCAGAGACTGCATAAAAACTGGTTGGCTGGACGAGGGTAAATGCATGTTACCAGCACTTCCCTGGATCTAAATTGCTAACCTTGCCTGGAGACACAAACCAAGGATCTTATACCCTTGAAAAATGGAGACATCGATTTATGACATAAGCGCCAAGCAATTAATCGAGTACCTTTTGTACTCATCCACTTACATGATTGCCCTCAGCTCCAGCACTGTACTAACCAAGCCCTTTATAATATGCCATTAGTTAGTCCTAATTAGCAGTTAATGAAAACTCTGGAGCTTCCATCTACCCCTAAAAGTGCAGAGTCTTGAAAACAAAAACTACAAACTGAAGTTTATCACAGTCTCTGCAGCAGGTCTGGGAAAGACTTCTCTCTGCAGGAGCTGATCTCTGGTTTTGATTAAGGGCTTGAAAAATTAAACTTGACCCAGCTCCAGAATCTCATTATTCTTCCCCTTCGGGCCTGTGAAGTTCACCGGCTTTCTTACTATGGCAGAATCTCGCTAATTCACACTAACCAGCAGGAAAGCTACTGAGAATGAGCCGGGTTTCAGAAGCAGACAGATAACAGAGTAGATAAGGAGAATGCATTACAAACTAGGCTGCTCATTTGGATAACTGTGAAGCTGCGTAATTCAGGGCAATTCATAGTTTGCCTGGAACATCAAAGTTCTCTAATGTATTCTGAGGAATTTTATGGAACACTTTTTCACAACTGCATACGCTCGGATTTGCACGGATACCTCAATTGCACGTGCATTCAGACTAAACTGTGTGTTCAAATTAGGGGCAGAATTCGGTACACACTTCTGAATAGCTACATTTATGTATTTTGCATAAAATTAATGACATCGTGAGAGTGAGAGACCATGCCATAGGATTCTGCTATTAAACTTTTGCTGTGACCTCCTGTATGTTCAAAACTAATAAATAGTACACCAAGTTTCAAAAGCTACTCACACTTAAACCCTTTACATTTCCGCCTCTGGCTTAAACCTTTCCCCCTACGATTAGAAAAGCGACTCTGGCCTTGTCCCTTATCCCCATACTGAGAAAAGTGTTGGCAGTTATAAAATGAATTTGGGCACTGGTCTGGCAGCTTCTGCCCCTTCCAAATACTCTATGACGGGAGAGCAGCAACAGGAATCTTCCTGGGGCAAATCATTGAAGTCCCACATCAGTGGCGGAAGCGGTAGCCATAGCCATACTTTCATTCTCTTGCTCCCCCAACATCAACTTCAGAATTCACCATCTTCCCGTCATCCTCACCTCCTCCTCCCCTATTTACAAGAACTCCAGGCAGCACTGGCTATCCCTACAGATCATTTTTGTTTCCACTGACACACGTGACCCATGTTTATTGCACAAACCGATCCATCTGTGCAGCCATTTGATTCATTCCACCAACGCCTGACCAGCCTCTCAATCCATCATCAAGGGTGAAAAACGAAACACTCAAAACGTGGCCCTAAAACCTCTAAGCAACTCCATAATCTTCTGACGCTTCTTTTGCCTTTACTGTTTAATATGGTTCATGGGAGTTCTATATTTTTTCTGGAAGCTCTTCAGGACAGGGATGTTGTCTAGTGTTTGTTCTGAGAGCATCTAGTACACTTGGGGTGCTTGGAAAAAAAACAAACACCTTGTCCCCCTGGCTGTGCAATATGGTCTTTTACCGGATAATTATTGATGTAGTCAAAACAATCCATTTGTTTCCTTGAGAAACATCATGATGCGTAATGAAATCTTGGATCCCCTCCAAACCCATCCCCAAAAGGGACTACCCCTGTACACATCCCCCCGCTGAGTTGGGAAAGTCATACCTGAGTGTAGGATTCCTGAATTTCATTGGTTTCTTTTGGCACCTAGATAATCGAGAGAGAGGGAGGGAGAGAGAGAGAGAGAAATACATCACTACCTGAGTAGCTGAATTTATTTAAGCAAGTGATGGTTGATGGCTCTGTTTCCATAGATTAAGAGCGTAATGGGTAACAGAGCTGGTTCTTGGAAAAAGTCGCTCCTTTCAGCATGCTTCTCGCTGCATAAGCAGGACTGGGGAATTTGGTTGGTACTTTAACACCTGTGCTTCAAGTGAGCACATTTAGCCATTTTCTTGTTGCGATTCTGCAGTAAAGTTCCAGGAGCTTTTTCTCCGGGAACACAGGTATTTTACTACGCAGCTCTAGGAAGGGCTAACAATGGGTGCGGCCCACAAAGACCTAGCTCTTCCAGCGCACTCTTGGACAAGATCATCTCTGGGTCACAGTTCCCCTTCTGTAAAATGGAGATGATACGAACCTACCTCATGGGATTGTGGCAAGTGTTAGATAGTAGATCTGCCCAGAAACGTGAGCAAGAAAAGTGCCATCTAATGCGCCAGGACCATCATTACTGGGGATCACCGTGAGTAACTCTCGTTGTGCTGAAACTTGGGGCATTTTGCTTCTGAGCCCAAACTGAGCCGCTCAGGCTAGAAAAGATTGTGCTAGAACTGACACAAGTTTCTTTGGACTGGGCTCCCGGAGGAGCAGCAGCAGTTCTTCTTGAGAGCTAATTAAGAACCCTGGTAAAATGGAGACCCACGACGCTTCTGGTTGTCAATTACACCAGTAACTTAGGGCTGGTCTACACTACACAGTTAGGTTGACATAAGACAGTTTATGTCAACCCAATTACGTCAGCGTCTACACTACAACCTTCCTCCTACCGATGTAAGGCTAGGTCTACACTGGGGGGGGGATCGATTTAAGGTATGCAAATTCAGCTACGCGAATAGCGTAGCTGAATTAGACGTATCCGAGCCGACTTACCCCGCTGTGAGGATGGCAGCAAATCGACCGCCGCGGCTCCCCCGTCGACGGCGCTTACTCCTACCTGCGCTGGTGGAGAACGCGCGTCGATTCGGGGATCGATTGTCGCGTCCCAACGAGACGCGATAATTCGATCCCCGAGAGATCGATTTCTACCCGCCGATCCAGGTGGGTAGTGAAGACAAGCCCCAAGTGCCCTACTATACCAACATAACTCGTCCACTTCCAGGAGAGGGGTAAGGCTTATGTCGGTGTAGTTAGGGCGACACAGTGTCTGTGTAGACACGGTGTCCCTTACGTCGGCCGTCTTGTCAATTTCACGGCAGGAGCCCTGAAATTCACAAGAAAGCCCCCACTGGACCCTGCTCCTGGCTAGGAGCCGAGGTGAGAAGCTCGGGGGGCTGCCCCTCGTTCCTGGCTGGGAGCCAGAGCTTGGTGGCTTCGAACCCCACTCCCAGCTGGGAGCTGGGGTGAGAAGCAGGAGGGACCCCCCTGCCTGCTCCCTGCTGAGCAGTCTTGTCAATCACCGCTCGGTGAGCCATGAAATTGACAAGGGTACCCAGCTCCTGGTGGGGAGCGGGCAGGGGGGCCGAGAAGATGCAGACAGCTTCCCCCCCACACACACACTCCTGGCAGGAACAGGTAGGGGGGAGAAACCCTGGGCGGCTTTCCCTGCCCCCGGCAGGAACAGGGAGCAGAAGGAGGGAGGCAGCCCGCTGGGAGCCGGTGGGGCAGCCAGGCCCCTGGCAGGGAGCTGCCAGCGGAGCTGAGAGACCGGGCTCTCAGCTCCCCACACTGCCCCTCTTAGGTCGGTGGAAGCGCTTCTGGTGAGGACATGCACCACCGACCCCAGGAGGGTAGTGTGGACATGCAAATTACTGCAGTGGCTGTAAGTCAACCTTAAATAGGTCGACTTAGATTTGTAGTGTAGACCAGGGGTTCTCAACCTTTTTCTTTCTGAGCCCCCCCCGCCCCCCCCAACATGCTATAAAAACTCCACGGCCCACCTGTGCCACAGTAACTGGTGTTCGGCATATAAAAGCCAGGGCCGGCGTTAAGGGGGAGCAAGCCTGGGCAATTGCCCAGGGCCCCTTGCCACAGGGGCACCGTGAAGCTAAGTTGCTCAGGCTTCTGCTTCAGACCCACGTGGCGGGGCTCAGGGCCCCGGGCTTCAGCCCCAGGCAGTGGGACTCCGGCTTTCTGCCCTGGGCCCCAGCAAGTCTAACACTAGTCCTGCTTGGCAGACCGCCTGAAGCCTGCTTGCGGCCCCCTAGGGGGCCACAGACCTCTGGTTGAGAGCCACTGGTGTAGACATCCCCTTAGAGGAGTAAACGTTCGTAAGTACGATGCACGAGGACGTTCCGTGCCCAGCCCTGCTGCGTGGCAGTGGGATTTCACGGTGGGAATGGAACTCCTGAGCACAACACTTCTCATTCGTCGCACTCTTTCTTTGATAAATGTGCTGCAGCATTGAGCAATACTAGCTGTGTGCGTTTTACACACCCACGCTCATACACAATAACGCACACACATACACGCACACTTCCTACAGCTAAAAGCCCTCCCGCCCAGCCATATCTTCCCCTTTGCACCAAACCCCTTCGCCATTTCACAAAGGGAAGTCAAATGCCAAAGCCCCAAATGACAGAGCAGCAGCTTACGTTTAACAGAGGCTCCTGGGTCACCAGGACATCAGCAGTAGAGCCATCTCCCATGTTGCCATGGGGATTCTCAGGGGAACGGGCGTGGCTCTGTTTGGAATGAGGGATAAAACTACCATGATCCCTGGCCCATGAGCCCCTCTCAATATGCATGCAATTGTGGGGTCTTCTCCACCCCCATCGCTGATCTAGATTAGCTTCCATTCAGCTTCCCCCATCTAGCATGACAGTGTACACCCCCTGCCCATCCATAGCTGCAGACTTAGTACCCCGGCAAGGTCTTTCTGCTGACCCACCCAGAAACAGAGACCGGGCAATACGGCTGTGAGCTCCCACCCCAGACACAGTGCGGGAGGGGATGAGAGGAGACACACTCCAAAGCTATCGCTTATTCCTAGCTCTCCCCAGGTGACATCCGACACCGCTGCTGAAACTCTTGCTACCTGCCACTGTTGCGTAGGTTGTGGGGCAGTGGAACCAGGTAAACAGGTGCTATTGGGCTCCTTTCCGGCCCTGGAGCACTGACCCACGTGGGAAGGGAAAGACAAACACTACACCAGTGCCCAACCGCAAAGGGTGTCACAGTCATCATCACATTCTCTCCATGCCACTGCAGAACCCTGAGTCCCAATGGGCTAAATTAGGTCAATGGAGAGACCCCAGGGATTAAGTAACATCAGGGATAAACTGGGTCCCACTTTGCAATGGGGAAACCCAAGAATGCTCTTTGCAGGCCCTTGACACACCTCCGGCCAAGCGGGAGAAAGATCCCCTGGGGAGCGGGACTGGTTGCGGAAAGCTTCAGTGCTGAAAGCGCTGGCGCATCTGGGATTGTAGCCTCCACAGTATTCGCCGGCAGCCCCCGGGTCTCCCATCTGGAAGATCAGCTGCTGCAGAGCACCCTGGGAGGCAAGGGAACAAACAAGTGGAGTTTACACCCGGACCGCTGACACTGCCTCTGGAGGACGGGCGGCAAATAAAACACAAGTGGGATAGGTTTGAATGGAGTTATTCAGACTCAGGATATGCAGCAATTACACTGGCAGGGAGATGCTCCACCACAGTCCACAGAGAAGGAATCCTATTCCAGGGCCAACAGAGGGACCCCACAGAGCAGCGATGTCTGAGCCTAGTATGCCTGGTCCTGCACACTTTTTTGTGTCATCTTGGCCAAGGTTCTGAGCCTCGTGGTTCCCAACACCAACACGGGCATGTCCCCTGGCTCCATGGTGAGACGAGATGAACAGGCAGCAGGGGAACATCCGAGCACAACTCCTGAGAGGGAAGGATGGGATTCTGCAGCGTGCTGGGCCTCTCCGGAGAGATGAGAATGGCACAGAGAGTGCTGAGCATCAGCCCTGAAGGGGCTCAGCACGCTGATGGATCAGGCCCCAAATCAACACTCTGTCCCAGAGGGCAGACACATTCCCCCCACCCACAGCCTGAAATTACCTAGAAGGGCTCTGGATTACTAGACCCCCCAGCGTTTGGCAAGACAGGGAGGGAAGAACCAGCTGTCTCCATGAGGTCAGTGTTGGCTGGTAACTCCAAACACCACCTTCCCCGCACCCAGGTCCCCCTCCTCGCACTCGGATCCTGGCTAGAGCGGGGGTGTAAGAAGGCCATTGCTGCAGAAGGGTAGACAGCAGCTCTTTGCCTTCCTTGGCCTTTGCTGGGGACAGCCCTGTGCAGAGGAGAAAGTGTCAGCAGGAAGGAGAGAGCATCAGGGCCAGGGGAATCTGAAAAAGAGGAGGCCTGTAGGGAATGCAACGCTGAGGGCCTGGTTCTTGGCACTGGGAGAGGTGAAATGAGCATCTGGGGGGGAGTGGGAAGAGCCCTGCTTGCCTGGAGAAGCCAGGAGTCTCCACAGTTGCTAAGGTTCTGTAATTATTAAAGTCAGAGCCAACTCAAACAGGGCTTCTCCTTGTTAGCATCCTTCTGAACCTCTCCTCCCTCTTGAGCCCAGTGTAACTGGTGCAATGATTTGTTAGCTGCAGCATCATTAAGCCATAAGCAGTTTTTTCTGCACCATGTGACTGTCCAGAGCAAACAGCTCTCTCCATACGAGCCTGCCCCATTTAGTCATTCTCGCCCGCTGTCTCCAAGGAGCCGTAAAAGCTGAGATGAGATAAATGTGCGAAAGCTGTTGGATAATCGCCCCAACCCCAGACCATCTTAATAAGATGAAATCTTCCTTCCAAGCCAAGGGTTTGGCCAGGCGACTGGCTGTGAAAGAGAGGTGGGGAAGGGTGACAGAGCTATATGCACGCCTGAATCAACAGGGACGGGCATTGTGCAGATGATGCAAGATGGTAAGGGGCCTTAGAGCTGCCTATTGTAATCTGGTTCCTGGTTTGCATGTTAGTTATTGGGGAGGGGGTTTCAGTGCAAAGACCCTAAAATAATCCTGGATCCAATAAGATCTAAGCATTTCCTTAACAGAGCTCCTTCTTATGACCTGCTGTGTGTTCTTAGACAGGAAGCTCTTTGGGGCAGAGACTGTATCTCCAACACATGCGTGTAGTGTGCCTAGTGCAATGAGGCCCAGATCCCTGCCTGGACCCTTTAGCCACTGTGTCTAGGCAAATAATGTTATTATTCTACAGCACATGTTGCATTGTCCAAGCCAGGACCAATTGAACAGGAAGGCAGCATGGTCTAGTAGTTGGGGGAATCCTGGTTTATATTCCAGGGTCCTGTCACACTGCTGTGTGACCTTGGGCAAGTCATGTCAACTTGTGGGAGCCTCGGTTTATCCCCCTGTAAAATGGGGGTAATTATAAATATCCTGGAGGATGTGACGGATGCTAGTGAGGAGCTTAGAGTCCCTCAGGATAGGTCTATGCTGCAATCAGGCGCGTGATTGCAGTTCGGGTAGATATATGCATGCTAACTTTATCCTAGCTTTTCTGGGTACCAAAAGCAATGAGGAACATGGCCCCCAGTGCAGGCTAGCAAGGACTGTTCATAGCCAGAGTCGCTGATTGGCTTGCACTGCTAGGTCTTTACTGCTATTTTTAGTAAAGAAAGCCATCACACCTCGGTTTGCAGCACAGACAAACCCGTACAGGAACGCTGCTAGGTCAGAGTGCCAATTTTGTATTGTTTGATTTCTCTCTTCCTAAATTTCAGGAGTCACAAGCGTGTTGATTTGGCTGGAAATGGGATGCTGCATTCCCTGGTGCTCTCATTCTAGCTACATTCACGGCCAGTTCTGACACGCTGCTTTTCTACTTCAAAAGGCTTAAGAATCCTGTTTGGGGATATTAGGTTGGAGTGACTATCAAGCTCTTTCTTCACTGCTTATTTAAAAAGTCACTCATCTCAGAGGACGTACAAAACTAATCCCTCTCCCCGCAGTGCGGGGGCACGTCTGTAACTGACACGTGGAGAAAGGAGTGGGTTAGAGAGGATTCTATTGGGGGTTTCCGTCTTACTGGCTGACGTCCTTTCACTGTTTTGGTTTCTCTGACCTAGGAGCAAACCCTTGGTGCACTTCAAAGCCTTTGCACTGCACATCACCTGCGTAGTGAAAATAAACAGGGTGTTTTCAGTGAGGGAGGAGATGGGGTTCCATCAGCAAGTGGAATTCCAGCATCATTTCATTAGAGTGCCCTCCCACCCCGTCCCAATGCAAGGTCTCCCCTGCAGGCTGCCTATGCAGCTCCTTTGGGCTGAAAGAGAAGAGTCTGTGTGTAGGAGGAGCAAATTCTCACCTCAAAGGGAATCTCAAAGGATTCAATCAGGCCTCCAAGAATGACCAGCCCCTGCATGGTGATGCCCATCCCAAAGTAATTGGACCATCCCACGCTCTCCACCAGCTGACAGTCCACATGCAGCTCCAGTCTCTCGGAGGAGATGCTGAGGGCAACCTGATGCCAGTCCCCATCCCCCAGGATGGAAACTGGGAACCTGTGTGCCCCAGGTTGGGGACAGGAGAAAGACAGAATAGGAGGCTCAGACAGACACAAAACAACCAACATCTTATGGGTTCACTGTTCGGTATTAGCATAGGCCCCCTTAGAGGCTCACCCCCGTTGTGCTATGCAGCCAGCTACCCTGGACACACTGGGTAATTACAAGCCAAAGGAAAGCGTCTCATGGAAATCTAACCCTTCCGTTACTTGGAACTGGGCAAATCATTGGGTTTTCAGAAATCAGAAAAAAAATGTTCAGTTTAGTTCTGAAAACTCAGGTCCCCCCTGCCCAGTGAGCATCCAAACCACCAGCCTATGGGCCATTCTGCTCTCCGTCTCTCCCACTGCAGCTGGTCCACTTCGTATAAATACTTGACTGTTCACTGGGCCAAAGAGAGTGAGAAGGACCCTGCTGCCTGGTGATGAAGGCACTCGCCCAGCAGATGGGGATTTGTATAGTCTCTCTGCCTGATTCAGAGGACGGATTTGGAGGGAGGAGACCTGACTTCAGGGGTCGGTCCTAGGGCCGGTTTTGTTCAACATCTTTATTAATGATCTGGATGATGAGATTAATTGCCCCTCAGCAAGTTCGCAGATGATACTAAACTGGGAGGAGAGGTAGATATGCTGGAGTGACCTAGACAAATTGGAGGATTGGGCCAAAAGAAATCTGATGAGGTTCAACAAGGACAAATGCAGAGTCCTGCACTTAGAAAGGAAGAATCCCATGCACTGATACAGGCTGGGGACCGACTGGCTAAGCAGCAGTTCTGCAGAAAAGGACTTTGGGATTACAGTGGATGAGAAGCTGGATATGAGTCAGCAGTGTGCCCTTGTTGCCAAAAAGGCTAATGACATATTGGGCTGCATTAGTAGGAGCATTGCCAGCAGATCGAGGGAAGTGATTATTCCCCTCTATTCGGCACTGGTGAGGCCCCACCTGGAAGATTGCATCCAGTTTTGGGCTCCCCACTAGAGAAAGGATGTGGACAGATTGGAGAGAGTCCAGCGGAGGACAACAAAAATGATTAGGGGGCTGGAGCACATGACTTATGAGGAGAGGCTGAGGGAACTGGGATTGTTTAGTCTGCAGAAAAGAAGAGTGAGGGGGGATTTGATAGCTGCTTTCAACTACCTGAAAGGGGGTTTCCAAAGAGGCTGGGATGATTTAGTTGGTGTTGAACAGCCTAGAGCCTGGTAGGGAGGAGATCCGAGTTCAAATCCTTGCTCCAGAGTGGGGATTCGAATGTGGGTCTCCCTAGCCACTGGGTCAGGGTTATTAGGGACACAACACGGTTTTCTGAAGCTGACCTTGACAGCCTTTTCCCAGCCTAAACTAATCAGGTCATCAAATTCACATGGTTTCAGATGGACCGAAACTGCATTTTTCAGCAAAAAAACAATTTGTTTAAAAAAAAAAAAAAAGTCACTCAGCTCTCCTTGTAACAGACACGCACCGTCACCGCAGTCTCTAAGCGCTGGAATATTGTAGCTTTCCAGTACACTGGGGAATCTGTAGAAAAATCCCCCATCTAGTCAGTTACAGCCTCTTTCCCCAATGTCCATCTGTCCTGGGCAGGCCCCTGCGTCCACTCATCCAGCCCCACTCCCTCTGCAGGGTAACACGTCATGTGGGCACCCAAGCACTGGAATTGACTGCACTCTACTGATTATCTGCCAGTCAGCCACTTTATCCAACACTTTCCTTGGGTTTTGCAGCTGGTTTAGAGTCAACCTTTCCAGCTGGGATGGGGGGGAAGGTTGGCTCAGTCAGAGCCTGAACAGCAAAACTGGCTCTGGCCATATCTTGCCTCACTGCAGACAGCAGCACGTCTGGACTTTCAAAGGCTCTTGCAAGGCAAAGAGAATCCCATCCCCCCCAAACTGAATGGTGCAGGGACCCTTTCCACGCTGCCTGCGGAGTCTCAGCCTGGCTCGGATCCAATCCTGGAGTCCTAGGTTGGGTCAGCTGGCTCTTTTATTTAGACTGACACTTCCCCCACCCCAATTTCTCGTACCCCCAGCTTTACACTGCGCAGATCCCCCCACCTGCCACATGGACGACACACTCGGCACGTGAGGCCGTTTATAACCATCACTTTGCCATTGTGTCATCTGCAGCCCCGAGCCAAGGCACGACTGAATCCGGAGTCACGTTAACAGATGATGGGTCACTGGGAACGCAACTCCCGCTGCTGCTTTGGACCTTCCCTGCCTGCCAGTCAGCAGCGAAATAACTCAAGAAAACCAGTTATGAGGCGTTCATGGACAAGGCAAGAAAGGGAGCCTCCCTCTTTCTTGGAGAGTGAGGAAAGGGGACTGGATCTCAGCCAGGTTCCTTGGAAAAGCCACGGCTGTGTCTGGGACAGGCTTTGAGGATTTCATTAGCAAAACAGATGTGTCATTATGCACATCATGGCAAATAATCATAAAACCAGAGAAACGTAGTGTTGGAAGGGACTCAAGAGATTATCTTGTCCATCATCCTATACTGGGCAGGTTTAAATAAACCTAGACCATCCCTGACAAGGCTTTGTCCAACCTGTTCTTGGAAATCTCCAGGGATGGGAACAACCTCCCTTGGAAGCCTATCGTGGAATTTAACTATCCTTATATAGTTTGAAAGTTTTTACTAATATCTAACCTAAATGTCCCTTGCTACCAACTAAGCTGCTGCCTTCTTGTCTTACCCTCGGTGGACAAAGAGAGCAATTGATCGCTGTCCTCTTTATAACAATTTTTTGCGTATTCAAACACTTAGGTCCCCACTCACCCTTCTCTTTAGCAAACATGCCCATTTCTTTCAACCTTTAATAATAAATATTCCAAATGCCATCAAGTTCTTATACAGCACTCTTCATCGACAGATCTCAAAGTGCAGTACAGAGGTGGTCACCAGTATTACGCCCATTTTTACACATGGGGAAACTGAGTAACAGAGAGAAGTGACCTGCCCAAGGCCACACAGCCATCTAATGGCAGAGCTGGGAATAGAATTTAGGTCTCCTGACTCCTAGTCCCATGCTCTAGCCACTAGGCCACAATCCCTCCCAAATGACCAGGTCAGAGTGTGATCTCAGTCCAGGATGAAAATAACGATTGCTAGGCCAATACCAAAGCACTCAATTTGCCATATTGAGGTGGGCGGGATCTATCCATCACACATGAACCATCCACGTAGCACGGTAGCCTGGATTCACTGCAAATTATTTTCTTCCTCCAACCGCTACATTTCAAAACTGTGAAGCATTAGCCTGGGGGGATACCTCAGTGGTTTGAGCATTGGCCTGCTAAACCCAGGGTTGTGAGTTCAATCCTTGAGGGGACCATTTGGGGATCTGGGGCAAAAATCTGTCTGGGGATTGGCCCTGCTTTGAGCAGGGGATTGGACTAGGTGACCTCCTGGGGTCCCTTCCAACCCTGATATTCTATGATTCTATTAATCACTGGCATATGGACTCATAAGAGGTTTCCCAGGTGAAGAACAGTATTAAAGGCCTGCCTCACAAGGCCAATTGAAGTGTGGGCAGACAGACTGAACTCTCATATTTGTACCCCCCCAAGAGATTCTCTCTTCTGCCCCTATATGACGAATTAGTCATGGCTTGAGGCTTTTAGGCTACATCTATACTAGGAGGTAGGGGTGTGATTCCCCTGCTTGCGTACAGATACTCGCACTAGCTCTCATCAAGCTAGTGTGAATTTAAATAGCAGGGTAGCTGCAGCAGCATGGGGAGCGGCGAGGAAGGCATGGCTTAGCTGTCCTGAGTACCAAACCAGTTCATACTCAGCATGTACTTCCACTGCCGCCACCAGTGCCACACTGCTATTTATACACATGCTAGCTCCATCAGATCTAGTACGAGCATGTGCGCACAAGCAGGGGGAATCACCCCCCTAGCTCCTAGTGTAGACGTGACCTTAGAACAACAGCTCCACAGTACGTCCTGGTGACTGACGCTTCCTCCCTCCAAACAATTTCCAACCCAAACGGGGTGGATGGGGGAGTAAACCCGTTTCTCCAAGGAGGACTCTGCTCCATGAACAGTAGGAGAGAGTGCTAATATGCTGTCTACCCAGAACTATGTCGAAGTGGGGAGATGTCCAATCTCAGGCACAACCGGCAGGAGGATAGTATCAAATGCTCTAGGGCAAAACCAGGAGCACACCCTCCCACTTAACCTAGAAAATCTACCAAAGCAGCCTTCACCTTAGTGGATGTGAGACTAACACACAGGCCCTGTCCTGTCAACTCACCTGCATCAGTAAGTTGCAGTGAGCTCACCCTTCAACAGCCCAAGCAGGGGAAAAGGGTGTCAGACAACCAACTTTTGTTTGGTACAAGTAGCAGAGATGCTGCTTTGCGACCAGAGGGGCCCTGCCTCAGATGTCAGCAGGGACAGACCCTTGGAGAACTTTGAGGGGACATGACCAGCCGGACCGGCCCTGCCTGCCACACTCCTGTTGACTAAAGACCCTGAATTTTGTTGCATCACCAACCTTCTTCCCTGCTGTGATCTAAGAACCTCTTAATTCCAACTAGCGAGGGGGTTCCAGGAACATCTTGATTCTGGTCTGTACATTCGGATTCATCAAAGAATGTCATGTGAGGTCTTAAATGAAAGCTGGGGTCACACTGGTCATTGATATCATTGTGAAATGTATATAGAGATACTGTGTAAAGAGTTACGTACATATACTGAAAATATGATCTTTGAGTCCGTAACAAGGCATGAGTCAGCAGCAGAGGTGAAAAAACAGGGTGTTCTGTCAGACAAGAGATATTTATTCACCTCTCCCTCTGGCAGGATGCAACTTACGCATGGTACGCTAACATAATGGATTTACGTCAGCGAAGAGATGCAAAGTCAAAAGGGAAGCAGCACGCGGGAAAACCAAGCCCCAGGTGGTTATCCCATCTCTAAGGACAGACAATGAACTTTGTGGGGGGTATAAGTAGAAGACAAAGACGACACCCCTCATCATGTACATAGGAATAAATGGACAGTGCATTTACATTTATGAAGACAGGGTCTCAGACAACCTTGGCTGGAAAGCTGCAAAAGACATTGGGTGAGATAAACTTTAGACAGGTTAGCCTGTTCTTTAAGTTTAGCCTCTAGAAAGCATGTGATTTTGTTTTTTATGTAACCCTTTGTTTCCAATATCACTTGAATCTGGAATCTTTGATAATAAATTTGTTTTTGTTTTCATTATATCTAAGAGCGGTGATATTAAGCAAAATGCTGGAACAGAGCTGAATCTTACTGGCTGGTGTGTATACTGCTTCTTGGGGGACAGCAGACCTGATATTTCTGTGAGCAGCCTAGGGCTGGATATCACGGGGAAACACTTCAAAGGGACTCTGGGACTGGGGTGCAGACACCCAGTGAAGCACAAGCAAGACTCCTTCATGCTGGAGGCAGGGGGTAACAAGGTGACTCAGTCCCTGGCACCCCAAGAACCTTCACACCTGCCAACTAATTTCTCTCATGGCTGGAGCTAGAGCATGTCTCCATATGCAAAAGACCACAGTTCTACATTTTCAGTTAGGCACCTGAAAGTGCAGTGAATGGATATGTGGGTGCAATCCCATGATTACCAGCAAAAAACACGTAGCAGCTCTAGCATTAATGGACAGCTTCATGCTCGTGACCTGGCGTGCCCAGGCAGTTACCCCTTTGCACCCACCGCTAAGTATTCAACAGGCTCAGCTTCGCTGCCTGCCTTTGGAAACTCCTCCCCAGCCCCCCCTATTTTGGGGTAGAGAAAGAAGAGAGCTAAGATGGAACTTACTCATAATGTCGCCTCCTAGTGGTGACAAAGACCAAGGCAAGGGGGTTAATCCTGATCTGGAACAGCACGTGGCTACGATGACTGAGGATCGTCAAGAGGCTGGTCTCCGCCTTCAGAGAATACTTAAGTTTCACCAACACGCTCAGCTCATCTGCAAACCTAGGAGAGGGAAGCAAGCCACAGCGTCCTGTAGCAGCCGGTGTAATAAACGGAATGTTCATTCATTCTAGATAATTTGACGCACAAAAACTAAGTTAAAAGAACATTATGCACATGGCAAAGTCAAGCCCCGAAAAGTTACGAAATGCCAGAATTAAGGAAGCTGTAGCACAGGCTTCAGTATGGGCAACACAAGCCCACCTGGCCCCCCGGGGTAGGTATTTGCTTGTGCAGCTGGCGCTGAAGCCCACGCCGTGGCTTCTTCCCCTCTACTTGCAGGGGGACGTCTACACAAGCCGCCATGCACAACCCCAGCGGCAATGATGACGTACTCCAAGGAGAGCTGAGGGAGGAATGAGGTTTTTAAAAGACCAAATCACCAGGCATGCAGGGAGTCCGATTGTAAGAACCTCTGGAGAAGTAGCCTACCTGTCCCCAAAGGCCTCCCGGGTGGGGATGCTGAGGGTGGAGTACTGTCCAACCTCCAAGACACTGCAGTTGGCTTCGTCATAACTGAGGGAAATATTGCTGAAGTCCCGGGCGGAAGAAGTCAGTTTGTCCAGCAAGTTCACTTCATCTGCATGGGGGCAAAAAGGAAAGAGAGAGAGACTAAATGTTTCATGCATCCTCCTGCCAGAGTGCCGCTCACATCATTAGCCACTGGTAAGGTGCTCTGGTGTACGGGAGGCCGCGGGAACATGGTCCCCCATAACTAACAGCCCTTTCAAAGGGTTTTCAGGAGGAGAATGATCATGTCTGGGAATCTTCCTGCCCGGAGGAGTGTCACTGAGCTGTAAGAATCACTGAAATAGAGTCTCAGCCAAAGACGTGCTCAGAATGACCTCTGAATTTAGGGAGATAGAAGGACTCAAAACACTGCCTGGTGGATTAAACAGTATAGTACGTCTTAAGGGGACGGGACGGTATTTCTAATTAATATTCCCCCAGCCACATACCCACTGTGACAAAGTTCCTCCTCTATCCTGCGCTTATTGGCAGATTTTCTTGCCTCAGAGATTCACCATGTGGGTTGGGGAACAGCCCAGAGACCTTCCCCCCTGGAAGAACCCACAGTCCAGGTCAATTGGGAGGTTTGGGGGGAACCCGGGCCCGCCCTCTACTCCGGGTTCCAGCCCAGGGCCCTGTGGACTGCAGCTGTCTATAGTGCCTCCTGTAACAGCTGCATGACAGCTACAACTCCCTGGGCTACTTCCCCATGGCCTCCTCCAAACACCTTCCTCAGTCTCACCACAGGACCTTCCTCCTGGTGTCTGATAACGCTTGTGCTCCTCAGTCCTCCAGCAGCACGTCCTCTCACTCTCAGCTCCTCGCGCCTCTTGCTCCCAGCTCCTCACACTCCCCACCACAAACTGAAGTGAGCTCCTTTTTAAAACCCAGGTGCCCTGATTAGCCTGCCTTAATTGATTCTAGCAGCTTCTTCTTAATTGGCTCCAGGTGTCCTAATTAGCCTGCCTGCCTTAACTGGTTCTAGCAGGTTCCTGATTACTCTAGTGCAGCCCCTGCTCTGGTCACTCAGGGAACAGAAAACTACTCATCCAGTGACCAGTATATTTGCCCTCTACCAGATGCCTGTACCCCACTGGTCTGGGTCTGTCACACCACCTACAACCTCTGCTCGACCTAGGGCAGGGGCAGCAAAGTTTTTGGCCTGAGGGCCATATTGGGTTTCTGAAATTGTATGGAGGGCTGGTTAGGGGAGGCTGTTCCTCTCCAGCCAGGCGTGGCCCAGCCCCAGCCCCATCCGACCCCCCTGCTTCTCACCCCCTGACAGCCCCCCCAGGACTCCTGCCCCATCCACCCCTCCCTGTCCCCTGACTGCCCTCGGAACCCCTGCCCGACTGCCCCCCGCCGCCCAATCCAACCCCTCCTCTCATTCCTGACTGCCCCCCCCCGGGACCCTACCCAATCCAGCCACCCCTTCTCCCTGTCCCCTGACAACCCCCGGGAACCCCTGCCCCTGACTGCCCCCCACCACCCCATCTAACCCCCTGCTTCCTGACTGCTCCCCCAAAACCCCTGTTCCCATTCAACCCCCCGTTCCCTGCTCTCTGACTGCCCCGCCCCCTATCCACCACCCCCAACTCCCCTGCCTTCTATCCAACCCCCCCTGCTCCCTGCCCCCTCTGCAAGAGCCCTGCTACCCAGAGCATTGCGCCCACAGCGCAGTGAGCTTAGGCTGTGGGGGAGGGCGAACGGCAGGGGAGGGGCCAGGAGACAGCCTCCCGGGCCAGGAGCTCAGGGGCTGGGCAGGAGGGTCCCGTGGGCCGGATGTGCCCCGCGGGCCATAGTTTGCCCACCTCTGACCTAGGGTGACCAGATGTCCCGATTTTATAGAGACGGTCCGGGTTTTTGGGTCTTTTTCTTATATAGGCTCTATTACCCCCCACCCCCGTCCCAATTTTTCACACTTGCTGTCTGGTCACCCTAGCTCCACTCAGCTAAAGGGTTTGTGTTAACTGCCTTTCTCCTCACTGCCCTATGAAGCTGTGCATTGCATCGTCCATAAGGATACCGCTATGTTCCCAGGCATGTTCTGAAAACTAGCTCTCCCTCTGGTCCCCTCAGTCTAACAGGACCCCCGCCATTCCCACAGCGGGTTTTTCATATCCCAGAAAGGAAGGACCCCTGTCGCTTTGCAGGCAATTATAAGAAAAGTGTGAGGATCCCAGTCATTTCTGTGATTGGCTGTCATGGCTGGGGAACGGCCACACCCCTTTTGCCAGGTCAGAGGGACGCTCTCGAATGGCACTGACCTGCTACCTGGAAATTACAATGGATGGAAAAAAGGTTCCTCTCAAAAACCTTGTATCCCACGTGCTACAAAATGAGCCATGAAAGTGTCCAAGCAAGAGGTGAGGAAAGGTTCCTGCACCATCAGCGAGACTGGCAGCCCTCCTGCGGGAACCCCCAGCAGGCAGAGAGAAGGAAGGACCATAGCAAGGCGTCAGCACAGCGTGCTTGGCGGGAATGCAGTTTCCCAGGGAGAGCAGATCACGCTTCAGATGGAAAGCGCACAAGGGACAACTAGGGCTGAGCACAGCAGCCCTTTGCTCTGGGAGTGGGAACAAGCACCAGACAACTGCATTCCACAGGCAAAGCAACTGCAGCTGTGTCGCGGCCAGAACATCCAGAGCTTGCCCGGCCGACACGCGGGTGCACGTATGCAGACTGTCCTGTCCTGTCCCTTCCACAGCAAGGACGGGGGCCTTGGGCAAGCTACTCTCGTGACTTCAGGAAAGAGTTTAATTGCTACTGCCAAGAAGAGCTGCAAAAGCCAGGGCACTCTGCCGTGAGACCTCACCATCCCGGGCCCGGTTGCTTAATCCAGGCTGTGGACAAAAATGTTGGCTTCAGACCTGAATAGTCTCCCTTCTTGAACCAACTCTGGGCGGTTTGTATAAACATGGGTCCAGTTTCAAATAATCTGGACTCTGCATGAATTCTACCCAGTCATTTCAATGCAGGTAGCGGGGCAAACTATGTCATTTGGTGAGCAGGAAGGTTAACAACAGTTTGAGCAAAACATTTGCAATGCCAGCAGCCAGCGAGCTGAAAAGGAGAAGGTTCAGCCCTGGGGCTGGGGCAGGGAAGGCAACATCAACTCCAGTGTGGTTACATTGGATTTCTATGTCCGCAAGAAAGGAGAGCAACCACATGGTAATATGGAGCCCAAGAGGAGCCAGATTCTCCCTTCCCCATGAACAATTAAGAGTGGGCCAAGGCTACCACACCGATAATGGAAATGCGTTTGAAACGACATTTGGAACCAAGCTCATGAAGTTGTTTGAACTTTAAAAAACAGTGGGTCTCAGCCTTTTCTAAACCATGACCCCACATTGCAAGAGCAAAAACCTTCGGGGTCCCCCTCCCTCCCCATCTAGCCATAAAGGAAAGGGAGGGTGGTCACGACCCCCTGAAGTCTGTTCACAACCCCCAGGTTGAGAATCCATGCTGTAAATCAAAGAGTTTCAGCAAAGCAGAAGTCAGACTGGAAAGGAAGGCAGGGAAAATACAATCAGAGAGTAAGCAATGCCCTAGGAATCTTCCACGCTAGTGCTGTTTGTGCACACCACTAGGAATCCAGCCGCTGAATTCCCAATGAGCCTGGGTATTTCTGCCAGTTCAAATCTCAGAAACCATCACATTCAGCAGTGACCAGTATTCTGGTTGGTCTACGATTAGATGGTGCATGGAAGAGATTCAACTCCAACTCCTGATGAAGGGCATTGATAGGGGAGCGCACACAGACACACAGCCAGTGATGTAACTGCTCGAGAGGACTTCAGTCTCCAGTGATGTCCATCCGGCATCGGCATTTAAAAAAAGGCCTAGATGAGAAGAAGCCCCAATGCTGACAGACAGCAGGACCCCAAATTACTTGTAAATCACCCGGACTGCCCCCATTGTTAAAGAATTAAGATGACCACCAATGACATTCGCAGATTAGACACCCCAGTGTTTGCTACAGGTGGCTTCTCTTGCTGGTGGCGCGGTTACAGACACAGCCAAGCAAGACCGTGAAATACACCAGCTGTGAAATCATGTAGCCAAACCGTCAGCTACAGAACTGATCAGTTTCATAGAAACCCCCAGCCCCCACACAAGCTGAGGAATGGCTGCCGTTGCAAATTAAGTCATCCAGCTCTTATCTTAGCATGTTTAACATTCATATTGTGGTAGTGCCTAGAGGCACCAACTGAGATCGGGGCCCCACCGAGCAGGTGCTGTGCATACTCCTAGTGAGAGGGAGTCCCAGCCCTAAAGAGGTTACAGTCGAAATAGACACGACAGACAGAGGGCAGGAGGAGAAAGAGGCAAAGTGACTTCCCCAAGGTCACACAGCAAGTCAGTGGCAGAGCCAGGACTAGACTACAAGTCTCTCTACTCACAGTCCAAGTGTCTCTATCCACCATCACCCCGTTGCAATCCATACAGCAGATTCAATAACACAGGCTCTAGCATCCAAAACTCGGAGCTATTGATAAGCACGGCCTAGCTCAGTGCTTTGGAAAGAAATTTGGGACACCCTGCTATGAAAGGCACTGTCTAAAGCCAAACGACGTTCTGGGCCAACTGCAGTCATGGTGCCCAGTTCAGATCCGGCTTACACCAGTGTAAGGTAGGAGTAACTCCATGGAAATCAAAAGTTACGCTGGCATAAGTAAGATGCGGGAGAGGGATAGCTCAGTGGTTTGAGCATTGGTCTGCTAAACCCAGGGTTGTGAGTTCAATCCTTGAGGGGGCCACTTAGGGATCTGGGGCAAAATCAGTATTTGGTCCTGCTAGTGAAGGCAGGGGGCTGGACTCGATGACCTTTCAAGGTCCCTTCCAGTTCTAGGAGATAGGATATCTCCATTAATTTATTTATTTATTTAATTTATGAGAACCAGGCCATGCGTACAGATAAATGTGCACATGTTCAACTCTCAGCTCAAGGAACATCCATCTGTCCGTGGGTTTTACACTGACACCCATCACCGCAGCATCTGAGCGTCATCCATGTGTAATCAACGTGTCGTTCAGTCTCACCTCTGCAGAGCAAATGGGTTTGCTCTT